CAAGCCACGTCAAGGGCTCCCCGGAAATAGTGGGCACATGCATGTTTCGATCGTCGACAAGGATGGCAAGAATCTCTTCTTCCGAGAAACTAAAGATACGGAAGCAAAATGGAAGGATATCGAGAATCTTTCGGATATGGGGCGTCATTTCCTCGCTGGAGTATTGGAAGGCCTTCCATATGTCATGCCACTTCTCGCACCAACAGTCAACTCTTACAAACGTCTAGTCGAAAATTTCTGGGCTCCAGTAACCGTATCTTGGGGGCTTGAACATCGTGCAGCGTCTGTCCGTCTGATCGCACCTCCAACTTCCAAACCCGGTGCCACACGTTTTGAAATCAGAGTACCAGGTGCAGATACAAATCCATTCTATGTACTAGCAGCTATCCTAGCATTGGGGTGGAGAGGAGTAGAAAAGAAATTAGAAATTCAACAACCACCGTTAGGAAAAGGTCAAGATGTAGGAGGTAAAGCAGATCCAGGGGTTAGATTAGCGAAGAATTTGAAAGAAGCCACGGAGAAGTTCATGGAGAAGGATAGTATAGCGAGAGAAGTGTTCGGCGATGAATTCGTAGATCATTATGGTGGTACCAGGGAACATGAAATCAGACTGTGGGATGAGGCAGTAACGGATTGGGAGGTTAGAAGATACATCGAGAGTGTCTAATTGTTGGATAGATGGGTACTATATTAAGAAATATGAAGCCTTTATTTTGGACACCTGGGATTTGCACTGTTCGCTGGTTCTATGGACTCGTGCTCGTGTGGTATATGTATGTTATTAGTCTGTTGGTATGAGCTGATTTAGAATAGCCAGCATCTGCCTGTAACGAAATCTTTAAATTATTCCTCTGCTATCACTTCTCCAGTTTTGGTGAACAACACCGGTAATTATCACAATCTCGCTTTACTTTATTCCCTTGATTTCTTTCCTATACCAAATAATAGGCATCCAACTAGCAAGCTGAGTAAGCACATGCATAATAGCTGGTGTAGCTAAGCCTCAAAGGTGGGATGAATAGGTGTTTGTTGGGTGAAATGTTGCAATGGGGATCTTATGATTACTGACCACACCAATTAATAAATTCCATTCCTAGAAACATCCAAGGTACTGTGGATTAGTCCTGAAGTACAGAATATCGAGATGACTTCGAATACATCTGATGGGGAGACTATAAATGTTTTATTCTATGGTCTTGGAGCGTAAGTCACTATCTAATGTTATACAAGCATACAAGCAGTTTGGGTCTGAGCTAATGCGGGGTCGCAGGATTGGCTCTGTTTATGCATTCATTCTAAGTCGAGTATCAAACGTACGATTAACTGTCGTTGCAAGGTCAAATTATCAGGCTGTGAAGGAGAATGTGTGTTTAGTTTCATGTCACGAGTGGCTCATCAAGAAAGCTAATTTGCTTGATAGGGACTGAAGCTTATCAGTCAGAATCACGGAGAAAACATCTTTTACCCAGCTAACGGCAAGCTTTCGTCCTTCAACCTCATGTTCGTTACTAACATTCTATAGTCATCAAAACACCCGACGAAGCACCAGGTCATTATGATTATATAGTTTGCTCTAACAAAGCCATTGGCCAAGAAGCCGTAGCTAGATCTCTTGCACCAGTAGTTTCCAAGTCAACAACTATAGTACTTATCCAAAATGGCGTTGGAAACGAAGACCCATTCCGAGCAATTTATCCTCAAAATACCATCATCTCCTGTGTTGCGTGGACCGGCGCCATTCAAAACACACTCGGCATCGTTCATCATACCAAAAACGAGAATCTGCAACTAGGACTCTTCACAAATTCGAATGTATCAACAGAAATTGAGAACCAACGATTAAAGATCTTTTCGGATCTATTATCCACCGGAAAAACACCACATGAAGTTTTCTCTCCTTCCAGATTGCAGACCGCTCGTTGGGAAAAAGTCATTTGGAATTGTGCCTGGAATTGTCTAACCACACTTACACGTCTCCATACACACGAGTGGCTCAACTCTTCCCCAGAAGCTATGTACATGACGCGAACGCTCATGGGAGAAGTAGTTGCTGTTGCACGAAAGATGGAGGTAGATATCAAAGATGATTTGATTGATAGATTGATAGAGAGGATACTAGGGATGCCGAGTATTGGTACGAGTATGTTGACTGATGCGTTGTGTGGGAGACAGTTAGAATTAGATGTTATACTTGGAGTGCCAGTTAAGAGGGGTAGGGAGTTGGGGGTGGATATGAGGGTTTGTGAGACGGTTTATACGTTGCTTCAAGGAGTGGATTTGGGGTTGAGACAAGGAGGACCGAAGAGTACTTGAGATTGAGGACGCGATGAGATTGGGAAGCGAATGGATGCTTTGTAATCTGTTCTAAAGAATGAGATGGAAGAGTTCATGTTTTTTCATGATTTGTGGTCTAGATCGGTCGTAGAACTCATGCATTTGTCAACCAAAATGCTGACAATTATTTATTCGACATTAACTTACAACAACTCTGAAAGATATGACTCGGTATCGGCGGAACTAACAACAATACGACGGATTCCTTCACCAAATGTGCCTTTAAAGTAATCCAATCCAATATGTAATATACACAACATCTTTTCAAACAGATCGACGTTTCAACCTGCCTATTCCGGATAGGTAGATGTAAGATGCATCGGATCTGCATATCCAGGGATCACCGGAAGTAGTGGGGTATATCCGGCTAGGCCACTCTTTTTCAACATCACAGCAACATGACATCTCGAATACAGCTGATTCATGTACCTAATAGGCATCAATATTATATTCTTTCTGGATAATCATAGTACGCCAATTGATTGCATTGATGAATTATTGGATACTTAGATTGAATAATCTAGGCAGAAACTTCTACTGCTTTCCTCAAATATCCTTGACTTTTCGCCGCTCTCGATATCTCACTCGCCTTCCTCCAAACATTTATCCCTTAAGCATTCTTCCAATTCTTCCCCCTTTACATAACCGACGCAGTCTCTGTACCTACTCTCAAACGCGCTTCGTCCAAGAAGAAACACAAAAATGTCCCTCCAAACCTTCCACCTCTTTTCCGCCCTCCCAAAAGAACTTCGTGATCTAATCTGGTTTCATGCACTTCCTCCCCCGCGTATAATAGGGGTTGAGGAGAATTTTGAAACACTTTCTCATTTCGAAAAGAGGACTTTTGGAAAAGAAATTGATGATAGGAATGTTCATCCCGATTTGGAATATTTTGGAATCGATATGATGGCGCCGATGATACAGGAATTCGTGTTGGATAATGGGTTGGATGTTGAGATTGGGGATTTGGAATCTGAAGGAGACGCAACAAGGCAGAGGGAGAAGGGTAAGGGGAAAGAGAAAGAGAAAAGAGAGTTTGTACCTTTGTATTTGAAATCAAAGAACCCTCATTACCGACAAGGCATCACTCCCTCCCGACTTTCTGATCCCCTCCTCTACTCCTACTACCAAGCGACCCGCCGCGGATTCCTGTATTCCCATTCTCCCATCCCTTCTCTCCTAAAAACCTGTCGCGACTCTCGCTCCTGCATGCAACGCCTCGGCTACACCCTCACATTCTCCACTCGCACCTCCCCTCCCCGCACCTGGTTCAACTACACTCGAGACATCCTCTTCCTGCGCGCCCTTGACTCTGACATCAACGAAGGGATCATGTCTGAGCTCGTCGACGGCACCGGAACAAACATTGGACAATTTCGTCCTGCGGAATTCACACGGGTGCGACGCCTCGCGCTCGATTTCTCCAAATGGATCGGTCGGGACGAACACTGGCAGTATGAAATTGTGCGAGTGGTGAAACTCTTTCAACATCTGCATGAGTTATTCCTGGTCTTGAATTGCGATTGGTGGTTCCAGGATATTCGCGGGGGCTTCATCACGGGACTTCCGAAACATCCTACTTTTGCATCCGCTTCTTCTTCGCCTACGAATCCATATTTCTCTCCGGATTCTGCATCCTCGCGTCCCTTCCCGATTCCCGCGCATTGGAAATCAGGAGGCGGGATAGATTGGAGTCATGGTGGAGGAACCACGTTGAAAAGTCCTGCGAATTCGTCGTTTCGGTGGGGATTTCGAAAAGTGGAAAATGAAGGGGATTTTTGGAGAGATTATGTGACCCCTACGCCTGGGACGTTTGCGCTCACGAATGATGGGAATTATCGGTTTAAGATTAGGGAGTTTGAGAGGAGAGGGGAGGGAAATGGGAGGAGAGAGAGGAAAGATTTTTTCGAGGAGTGGAAGAGAGTGGTGGAGGGGAGTTTGAGGGAGAAGTGGGAGGAGGATGGAGAGAGAGGTGGTGCAGAGTGGAGAGTGCCGAAGATACAGTTGGTTTTCTTGAGACAGGAGGATGGTTTGGATAATATTTAATCGGAAGCTTTTAACTGTTTGAACATTAGACGAGACATCTCCCAGCTTTTCGTCGGATAATGCATTGTGATTAAAATTGTAAACAAAAGAGATTCCATACGCGACTTTTTGCCCTCTGCATTCCACGTTCTCATGCATCCACAATCACAATATCACCACGTTTATAAACAATTGATTAGGTGGATACTTACTTTCTATTCACCATCACTCATCCATAGTAGCAAAGATGGCATGCGAAAATCAAAAGTCGGGGAGGAAGTTTAAGCCCAAGCCACGAAGGGCAACACCAGCCGAGAGGAGAGCGAGAAATAAGGCAGAGGAGGCGAGACTGCAGTCTGAGGCTAATGGTGCAGCTGCAGCTCAGGCAGCTAGACTTGGTAAGTTTGAGGATTTCGTGTAGAGAGACTCGATATTTGACGTGGGGAAAATGTTTTGGGATCCTTTCGTGATGGTCTTGGATGGATTGAGTGAAGTGTTGGTTGTGTGAAGATCTGTGATTGGGAGAGAATGTTGATATTATGTTTTGCTATATTATGGTGGGATTAATGAGTGTCTACTGAGTGATGTGAACATTAGCTTTGCTGAAACTCGCACATTTGATGTGTTGAGGATGAATTGGAATGTTTATTCTTGCAAATCCGGTGGTAATATTCCTCTTTTTGATAGAGGAGCAAAAAATCGAGAGAGAGGCGGAGAAGATGGAAGAGAAAGAGAATGCTATGACTGCAGCTGCAGAAACTACTGTTATTCGTCCTGGCTCTGTTCTTTCTCCCAGCGAGGGAAGTGTTGGTGGAGAAGATGATCAGGGGATTGGAGGAAGAAGTGGTGTTATTCTGGGAGCTGGCGGTGGAGCCATACATCAGAATCTAGTCTCACGACCAAAACGTAAGAGATTTCCTTTCTACTATTTCTGAGAGCCACTTATGAATCATTCAATATTTCAAACATTTCCTCGCATCCAAACATCATCGATAGACACAGCTAACCATCTTCTTACTCATCGATAGCCCTAACCCCAGAGCAGCAATCTGCTCGAAGACTCCACCTTGCGCTCCGCCGTCGAGCAGCAGATGTTCGCCGCAAGGGAAGCAGGTCGCGCTGCGCGAAGAAAAGAGTGCGTCGGTCTCATCAAGAAAGTGCGTAATCTGCGGATCGCGGAGCACGCCGCTTCTGGTGGCAATATCGACGATGAGGAAGAAGATGATGGAGAAGAAGATGATGAGATCTTCGAGTCTCTTTTTGCGGGTGGCGATTGGGGAGATGACGATGAGGAAAAAGATGGAGGTGGTAGTGGAGGTGGTGGACTTGGTGGAATGTTTGATGCCCAAGCCATGATGGTCTAGATATTTAACTTTTCTGTAGGAATAGAAGGTAGAGATCAAAAATAATCATTCGATGATACCTATCAGGGATTCAATAGGACTCGACTCACCCAGCGCAACCGCGCAGTTCTCCTCCACCTCTAGCCTCAAACAAGAATACGACCACAATTCTACTTACTACGGCAGCAGATACTAAATTGGAATTATACTGGTGGCAGACAGAAAGAGACATTTGGGACATATAAGAATGCGGAAAGCAAGGCACAGGGATACCGGAGTTGCGAGAATGCGAAGAGAATTAGATAAAGACGCAGAACAAATAACCCATTAAATGCCGTTTATTCAGCTTTATATATTCTTGAGGAACATAATAAGCAATCTTCATCATTCAAATCAGTTCTCTGCAGATCGTTCACCGATCCGTGTGAGCATGCCTAGATTCAGTGTTCGGCCATCCAAAGAAACTCGACCGCACAAGATTCGCCCGCAGATTACCTTCTGGTCCCGTCATCTTGATCAACAATTCCAAAGTCATAAGATAGAGGATATGAATGTGAAATTGTACTTCTTGGTTATAGTTAGGTTTTAATGGGGGGCAACATAACAACGCATGTCATGTTCTGGAATTTGTAGTAAAAGGCTATCCTTGATTCCAATCCATTTGGTCATCGATCTGAAGCTCACTATTGTCGACGTCGAGGTAGATCAATGACATGTAGTTAATAGAAGCTTCATGATCCAGGGGAGTATGTAAGCAAGTGGGGCCCCTAGACACGAGCTGTAACATCACCTCATCGTCACCCCGAAAACAATCCTTCTAGAATTACTTCATTGTAGTTGAGGTCAGCCGTATACACAGCATCTGAGACGGTCACTTCATTAATGATACACTGCCCTCGCGCTCCTTAGCTACTTCGACCTCCCACGCCTGTTCGTGGAGTTGCTAGTGTTTCTGAAGGGAGGCTAATCCTCAACGAACAACAAAGCTACGACGCATGTCTAGTGTACTTGGCAGCATAATAAGTAAGAAGCTCAAAATATCGTGAAAAGCTCTGTGTTTAATGTAGGGATGTTATGTGTTGATTCGATCATCTAGACTTTTGGGCGAAAAGCGAGTCCAACAAATGTCAACCCAGCTCCCGAATTCATTCCACCCCTATCCTCTCCAACTGCCTCATTTAAATCCTTGACATCGCTCATGCTATCCCTAGACCCAACTTTCAAAGGTCTCTCCCCTTGCTGTCCGACTTCACCTTCGATATTGCCGTTCCTTTTACTATCCCTGGCTTCTGTTTCCTTGCTAGCCAGTAGTTCAGTTGCTTCTGCAGCGTTGGCTTCAGCGATTCGACGTTCCCGTCTTCTTTTCTGTTTGGCAGCTTTAGCAGCAGCAGCTCTCGCCTCCTTTCTCGATACTATAGTGTAGGTATGTTATTTTCCATGCAAATCCAAATATAAGCCACCCTGATCTATGACTTACGCTTTGTTCGAGAGGCTTCGATGACAGCAGCGGCTTCCACGGCAACCCTTCTGGGCTCTATGATAACGAAATATGTTAGCTTGATTCCATTTGGTTAAATGAACATTGAAAAGAATCAAGGTCAGCAAGGTGGGGGGAACTCTTCAACTTGCCCCTTTCTGCTTGAAATACCGCTTCTTCCTGTTTGCAGGCTTCAATAGTTGAATTGCCAGGTTCTTGTCTTCTTCTCTCCAATGCACTAAGATTTACTTTGTGCGCGTTTGCATAATTGGATTTCTTGGCCTTTCTTAATCTTACTCGATCGTATGCCATGATGTTGGGCAACCTAGCTTGTTGAATTTGAGTGTAGCTAGCGTAGAGGTTCGACGATAATTCCAATTGTTATTCCCAATATATTCGTTTATGTTGCTCCAGTTGAGTTGTGTCAATTATTTTCGGTTTATAATACAGAGGTGCATGCTATTTTCGTACGATAACATACTTTTATCTGAAGTTTCAAATTTCCCCGCCTTCTCAGCCTCCTCTATATTCACTATTAAGCCCTCCAAAACTCTCACAAATGCAGCGTATTAGAATCTTCCAAAAATTCATCCGCTCTTATCAATTGGTTCCTTGTTTTCTTTAAAATATCAATAACTTATGGTAAATAATTGATAGTTGATTTATACAAGTAATGCATCACCACTAAGTTGCCTGCCTTATCCGTACTATATAAGGTCCCGATTAGCATAATTTCCAAATCTGTGTAGGAAGATTTACCTTTCTTGAGATTCATGGAAGTCACAGTGTCATGCCTTTGGTACTCATGACGCTCGTTTAGTCATGCCTCTCCATATCTTCATCCGTGTCTGACTGCAAATCTTGCATCTTATTTTAAGACTCACCATCTATTCTTTGTTTATGCTTCTTTCCTTTTTCTCTACGATTCTCCATCAGTCGCTCCCACAAACTGGGATGATTGCTTCTAGCTCTCGTCATTGTGATTGAACTGTTGTTGTGTGAATGTATCGTTGGAATAGTACTACCGTTTTGTGCCAGGTAGTTGATGGTGAGTCGGAAGGGTTCTCAAAGTTCAAATTTTGAAACTTTCTAGTGTTATTTGTATATGCAAGACTATGCGTTTCCTATCCGCTAGATCGGGGAAGCTTAATTCGCTGAACCGGCTGGCGTTTTGTCCCGTTCTAATCGTTTCAGTGTTTGATAGTAAACTGAATAGTCAACGACTTTCATCTATACTTTCCAACACTCTCCTTTTTAATGCTTGCGGACGACTGGAATATAGTGCAGAAATACGTGAATATACCTAAGACTCATAGACGCATCGCATAGTCAGTGTAGCATTAGCTATAGATAGACTAAATTGATTGTGAATTTAACACTACTGTTACGTAAGATTCATGCTGTGCATGATAAGCATACATGCTTGGTGCTATCTGTTCACACTACAATTCTAAAACGACAGCCATTATTGTTCAATATCTAAAGATGGATTTAAAAAATAAACTTGGTTTCCTGAATCTTTCTACACAGTCTAGAAGATCAATGTCCAACGAGGTATATTTTCCAAAAAATCAAATACCGAATCTTATCAATGTTGAAAACTCAGCCAAGTGTCTAGGTAGTTGCATATGAGTACTGCATCACTGCCGTGTACTCATTAAAACATCGGTGTTCATACCACCATCGAATATCGAAAGTGGAACCATTGAAGAGCTCAAATGACAACCTTCGATTGGCCGTCACCTGTTTCATTCGAATGCATAATCTGTAGGTAGTCACAGTGAGAGAATCATAAACGTATCCTTAGCTGGGGCTAGAAATGAAGGAAAATTGCATGGTTACGCGGGTTTGAGTCGAGCCTCATTATCTGATTGATGGGCATAAAATGAGGGCAGTTGTTAGCTTTTAAAGAAGAGTCTCATTCCATGATAGTTACTTTTTTATTAGCATGAACCAAAGCGTCTTGTTTGCTCTGATGTGGGAGAATGTTTGGGATATGGATAGGTGAGATGATATTTCGAGATCCAGAAGGGATTATATACTGTGAGGGTGTTGAATGTGTATCAAATATCACATAGCACTCACGCCTGGCCTAGTGGGTTGCTTTGATGATTGTGGGTTGATGGATAAAGTGGGTCCGGGGTTAGCCAGGAAAGTCTCCAAAGAGAGGGTTTGAATCCCTTAAACGTACCACAACTGTAGACCAGATAATGAGCGCCAGGTTGTGGAACTCGGAGCCTTAAGTTAATAGCTTTTTGGTGTTTTTTTCTCTTTTATATTCAATTTTTTTCTTAAGAGTCATTGTTATTGTTGACTGTTAGAACTTGAATAACAGGTTTAGTGCTCTAATGCATGAATCATTTTCATTTCCATCCATGCTTGCAGGATAATATTTTATTCTGATATTAAAACGTTGTTGTTAGCTATTTTATCAGTAGGAAGAAGAAGAATCAAAAACACCCCCTCAAAGTGGAAAAATACGCCCGTGTGAGCCTACATTTGCCTTTTAAGAGCGTAGACTTATCTGTCGCCTAGTGAAAAGTTCATTCGACAATTAAAACGATTGAACAATTTTACAGCTTTGTCTGAGTTTGTGACTGCGCCAAACCAGATAACCACAAATTTTTGCTCTATGCGAACAGAAACAAGAGGAAACCTGCCGTGAACATGCAAAGCGGCTGTATTGATGTCCGTTTAGCACTGGCCCCAAACGGCTAAGCGAAGGCAAAGTGGGGACCTGATGACTAATCAAAGCGCCCAGCATTGTAGAATAAGCACAACAATCAAGAGATAGAGAGACATACAAGCTTCAGGGAGTGTAAGGAAAGGTAGACCCCAAGCTGCTGAATTAATATATCACCAACTGATGACATGATCCACAGTCAAATTGCCCAATATAGAAACTCAAGTTATGCGTCTGATCGATAGCATTCCTTGCCTACAAGCTGATCAGTATTCAACAGTATCATTTTTACATTAGAGGGCTATGAAATGAAGAACTTTTACCATTCTTTCTAAAATCTCTCTATAGAGGAATGGACTTACCAGTCTATTAACTTAATTGCTCAATGCAATTGCTTTCGAACCAATCGAAAGCACAACCATTAACACCGTATTATTGTCTGTTTACATCCAACACCACCTTCCCTTATCACGCAAATTGTTAGAAAATTAAAATCCTGCCATGTCTGCTGATTAAATCGGATTGATGTTGGCAAGACTTCAATATCCACACAAGAAGGGCTTTTTGATGCTGATGAATGTCGAATTATTATCCAAGGATCCCTGAAAGCAAGTCTTATTCTACTTCGTTGCAAATATAAGTTGATCCGCTACCCTTAAGCATCGTTTTTCTGTCAAAAGATTGATGCTAAAGTATTGTCTATTAAACTGAGTTCGACAAATTTGCTTTGTATCTGGGATCTGGGTGACCCATCATCTACACCGATAGACTAAAAGTACACACTTCAAATATCCAATAGTCATATGATACTCAAGGCGACTTTGGTGTACAAGCTTTTTGGAATTATCCATTACCATTCGTAAACCCAAAGCTTTCCATAGTTGAGATATGGTTCGGAGTATTGAAAACCTTGTTTATGTTAGGTTGTGCGAAAGTCACGAGCACGAACGTATTCACTATACGCGTCTCCAATTTAAAGATGTTAATTTGCCCAATGCCCATTGGAGCCGTCGCCTAATCAATCGATGTTTGAATTTTTCATTGGATAGCATAAAATTATAATGACTTAGTCATCAGCGACTTGTGAGTTATCAATGTAAACTAGCATTCGTGAATGTTTCGAAGTTTTTAGGCATCGTTCCAGCCCAGATACCACATCCTCTCTCTGAAAATCTAAAGAGTACAAGCAAAGCGCAATGGCATATATGAATAAGACATCGAAAAAGGCGAAGCCAAACTACACTGCGGCCCATAGAGGTCACATGCGTGCTTTGGAGCATGAGCGACGTGCGTCTGCCAAGAGAATCATCCGTGCCAACATCAGGGCTGATATGATTTTCGCTGCTGAACAACGTAAGTTACAAGGTTCCTCCATTGATCAAAATGACTTGATATGAGTGCAATTGAGCCAATTTATCACACGATATTTTAGGTGCAAAAGCACTTATTCCCGTTCCGCCTCCATCACCAAAGAGTACGTCAGGTCCAAAGTTACAGATACATTGCTTAAAAGCATTCTCCATGATCATGCATAGAAATACATCTGTTGACACATATGCCTCCTAGGGTCCAAGAACGAGAAGGAAAGACGTGCGGCCGCTGCTGCTGCTACCAAGCAGAAACGTCACGATCTCAGAGCTGCTGCAGCAATAGCTAGAAAAGAAGCAGAAGAGAGGGCCGAAGCTGAAGAAAGAGCGGCTGAAGCGGAAGAAAGAGCCGAAGCAAACGAAGTTGCGAGCCTCGCTCGGCAGTTTTGGGAATTGCGGTTGGCGGAGCGGTGGTTTGAGGGTGGCGAGAATGATAACGAGGATGACTACGATGAGGAAGAAGATGAAGGAGAAGTGAAGAGCAAGTTGAGGGGTTGGTTTGGGCTGTGTGAGAAAGACGACGATGCGGATGAATCTAATGGTGGAGGTAACAGTGGGGGAGGCGAGGCGAGAATGGATGGAAATGGTCAGGTGTGGTTCGAGGCTTGGACGTGGTGATTAGATTTGTGTGATTTGTGTTCTGGAATGAATGAAAGTTTAAGGTTTGGGCTCTACAGTACTGTTGGAGGGTTTTTAGACGGAGTCTCAGGCTCTTTTGGCATTCCAGGCGTAGAAGAATACGGCTTCTTTCTTTTTTACCCAGGGCTGAATGAATGTTTCAGTTACAAGCCACTCTCCATTACCACCACTAACTACCTAGGTAAACTACGGGACTTGTTCCAGAATCGTGCAACCTAGGGATGAGTTTGGTATCCCTTTCATCCACGGTTCAGTAATGATAGCCCACATAATACCTGTGAATTTGATTCTCTGAAGTGAATTATTGCCATATCTGTCAATAAATAAAATAGATGCTGGGTTAACGTTTCTCCACCATACCACTATGACAATTAAGAATTGGGAGCACCATTTCTATCCATCTCTGCGCAACATCATCCCATCTGACCATCATTTGCATCAGAGATTCCAGATGAATGGCTTCTGAATTATATCACCATGGTCCGTCAACGTTGGCAGAAGCCAATTCGAAAGATAGGGTTCGATTTCAGGCCGGTAAAGGGTTGAGGAACCACCTCGTGTAAGTGACATGGTATGCATGCGTGTTTGCCTTCTCTGACTCCAAAATTCAGATTGCACCAGGC